GATTAGACGTTGATTCAGTATTTGTATTTTAAATGTGTATTTGTTTTGTAGAAATTGCAATTCATTTTACTCTGAAAATTAAAATATTACCATTACTATTTGAGCTTTTCACAACTCATCAACTTGCCTTCAAATAGAACTTGATCCATAAAACTTAACACGCATTCAGACCTTTTTTACGCAACAGGTTAAATTACCTTTGGCAGCATTTATTGCTGTAAGCCTTCTTGGGCGTGATGTGACAAGTTCTGCACACCTGGATTTGAGGATTTTCTGCCATTATACCTTGAAAGTGCCCTTGAGCTTCGTCAGCTCAGATGGAGGCTGTCAGTCCTCCAGTTTCCTGGCCTTTTCATGGATTTTAAATGGCTTCAAGGCTCAGTCATGTTGAAGGCAAACTCTCTGACATACTGACAACTCTGGAGGATATCTAAGTTTTGCCATCATCTCCGTTAGTTCGATAAATATCAGCATCTGATCTCTTCTGCGGAGATGTTTAGATTTAAGAGGAAAGCTGTTTCTTGATGTAGCTGATCTGAGAGTCTCAGTGTGAGAAGTTTAAACTCGTACACATTTTTTTTAAATCAAATTCATAATGGTGAATTGTAGTGATGGCTTCGCACTTGAACTTTCTTTTCTCCTGATTTTCTTCATGGTTCTCGGTAAAACCGTTCAAATAGGAACCTTTGCGTCAATGTTCCCTCTTCCCCTGCGGCTCCTTTAGTTGACGAGACGTTGGGAAAGTGTTTGTTGTTCCAAATGACTTTTACATTTAGGAATTTTGGGGGTCAGTGTGCTCCAGGGAAACCAGAAATTAACAGAAACCTTTTGTTGCTCCTGTACACAGACAGGTATGTGTCGTCCCTAATTATTGTCCCCTGTCACTGAGCAAAGATAGGGAATTGGAAATACCTTCCATCTGTGCGTGCATGTTGTGAGCACAATAACTTGAAAAATATGAGCGGTATCGGCTTTTCAGTTCAGTGTGGTTACATCTAGGTGTAGGAAAGCCTTATCCTTACCTTTTTAAAAATAGTTGCCACATCAAAATCCAAGATGGCTGCCACTATATATATTCGCATATTTTTCCATTTTTATTTTATATAAAACCAGCCACCCCGATCATTTGAGGAAACTATGCTTTCTAGTTTTTATATAGTTTTCTCAAATGATTGACTCCTCCATTGCTCCAGTATCTGTCACTCTATGCTGCCTTGGACAAGCTAAAACAAACAAACAAACTACTGTTCTTCTCCACAGTGTACCTCCATCCCATTTCTTGCACTAAAAACATTAAGGTTTACTTGCATTTCTTGTTCAATTCCAGTCTAGAAAAACACTCATCTCAAAAACTACAAATATTTACTGTTCAAATCCCTCAGCGACGGAGTATATTGTTGTACCACTTGTATTAATTTAGTACATGTTGTAAACAACTCCCGCACCAAATTTTAGCTGAGTATCAGTAAAATTGATCTAACTCCATATTTGTTTGGGGGAAAGCTGATCCAACCGTTGCTTCCATCTTGAATTAGGATGTCGCCAAAAATTACTTTAAAAATTTCAATAAAATATGTCCAGTGTTTCATGATATTTTCTGTCACGACAGACAAATTAACCCACAGACACTAGCAAAAACATTAAAAACATTCAGCAGTGAGCAATAACCTGAGGTGCAGCCTTTTAAACTGCTCTTCAATACATTTTTTAAAATAATTTATTGTTGGGTTAGATGCTTTTGAGAATAGAAAATGGTGACAAAGTAAACTCGGCACAAGCAACAATGTATAAAAATGTTTATTTGGCCTTTTTGAGTAACTTTTAGCTTGATGCTTGTCCCTGAGAATTTTAACCCTGGTGATATCTACTGACTGGTGAGACACTTACTAGTCATGCATCCTCCAACTACGTCTACTTAAAAAGAAAATGTACTTTCTCAGCTGGAAAGGAAAATGTATTTGGGGACACAGTAACATTCCCCAAACCGTTCAGTGAGAATGGTACATGGCAACTTCTGCCGTCTTACAAACCCCAAAATAAATAGTAAAGAGAATTGTGTCTTACTCATCATGGGTGTGAATGTTAGATGTCTGGCGTGTCGGAAGGTGTGAAATTAACCTGACCGTATGAGTTAAAGGGACTTGTTCTGCCTATTAGAGTCGTGCTGCTGTTTTTCATCTACGCCCTTTGACCCTGAAGTTTTCAAGACAAAAGCAAACATTGGTCAGTGTTTCCCATAGGTCGCTCGTCTTGTTCTACCTTCTTGAGGTGTTTCACATCAGGTGCAGGTCTGATCTCTAGATGCTCCTGATCTATGAGGCTCATTTGTACAAACCTACTCGCCTTGCTGTCCTCTGCTTCGACCCCACCTGTGCAGGTTCATCCAGCTCACCGACGACTCTGCGTGGGAAAATATTTAGAAATGGAAGCACTTGGCATTAAACAGTTTGTCCTGCGCTGTCTAACGAAGGGCAAAGGCTCTGAATGATTAAATCAAGTTGTTCTCTCCTATTGTCCCACTAATGACTCTGATTAGTGATCGTGATACTGGTAGGCCGATCAGACATGGCTGTATCAGAGAAAACGACAAACCCCCTCAAACTGAAACAAAAGAGAAACACGGCCCCCTTTGGGAGAGATTACCACGGCCCTGCTTTGACTCCGGTGCTGTTCTCGTGTCGGGATTTAAATAGCACCATTGTTTTGTACGGTTTGAGGATAAAGAAAACCGGTAGTCTGGCTATGGTTTGAGCCGTTAAGAAGGTGCAGCATCACAGATCTGAGTCATGGCAGCTGAATACACAGCTTAGGCCTCAACAATAAACCTAAAGAGGGATTCTGCCTCCACACGGCACGCTCCGCAAATCTCTGCTGCATTCGCTCCTAGTTACTCCACCTAGGGTGGAGGGGAGGGCTGGCTGGCTTTCACCCAAATGCATGCTGGGATTGTGTTCCTCTTTATTTTAAGCCTTCCCTGTAGACATGTCCTGTATTCCCCCCCCCCCCCCCCATTTTTTTCTTCAGCTTCTTGTATCCCGGTGTCTACAGTCTGTTTGTGCATATGTTAGGAGGTTTTGTGATGATGTTCCACTTTGTGTTGAGTGCTCATAATCAGCATTGTTTCACACAGGCAGGAAGTGGCTGAACAGCCACTGATATAGCTCCGCTTTGTTGTCCCTCGTCACGGAGCGAAGAGGGGGATTGGAAATTCCCTTCGTCCACCTGTCCTTGCATGTTATGAGCGTGATGACCTAAAAAGATGAGGGAGAGACGGACTTGCATTCTGGTGTTTGGCTACGTCTAGGTGTAAGAAAGACTCCTTTGGAAATTTGGGTTGCCAGGTCAAAATCTAAGATGGCCGCCTCCAGATATATGTAAATCCGTCAGTCTGCTCTGCTTTGGACAAGCAAAAAGAAGAAAACAATACCTCTGTTCTTCTCCACAGTGCAACTCCTACCCACTAGAATGTCTTGCACCAAAAACATTAAGTTTTACTTGCACTTCCTGTTAAATTCTAGTCCACAAAAACACTAACTACAAACATTCACTATCAAATCCGTCAGCGTCGGCGTACTGTTTGTATAATTGGTGTTTGTTCTGCGTTTTGGGGGTTGAATGTGAAATCAACAATCAGACGGTGGAAAAGTTTTAAGCCTGGAGCTACTGAAACAAACGAGCCCGCTCCAGCGTTCTGCCTCACAAAGATGAAAAATGTTGACGTGAACGAATGACTCCACAATCCGACGCACTCGAAGAGTGCTCCGCCCACGAACTGATTGGCGTCGAGGCTAATTTTCCTGCTCTTTTGCTTCTCGCTGCAGGGGGAATCACTCACGACACGTTCCAGAAGGAGCTGATGTGCTTCGACCCAGATGCGGATAAGTGGACTCAGAAAGCGCCCATGACGACGGTGCGCGGCCTTCACTGCATGTGCACGGTGGGCGACCGGCTCTACGTGATCGGGGGCAATCATTTCCGCGGCACCAGCGACTACGACGACGTGCTCAGCTGCGAGTACTACTCCCCCGCCCTGGACTTGTGGACGCCCATCGCTGCCATGCTGCGAGGCCAGAGCGACGTGGGCGTGGCCGTGTTCGAGAACAAGATCTACGTGGTGGGGGGGTACTCGTGGAACAATCGCTGCATGGTGGAAATAGTACAGAAGTACGACCCGGAGAAAGATGAGTGGCAGAAGGTGTTTGACTTGCCCGAGTCGCTAGGCGGGATCCGAGCCTGCACGCTCACGGTTTTCCCCCCTGATGATATCTCAGGCTCACCCTCCAGAGAGTCCCCCCTCTCAGCACCTTGATGAGTACAAAGGGGGGGGTCCTTTTTTTTTCCTCCCCCCCAACCCCCCCCCCCCCCTTCCTTAACTTCCTCAACACCTTATAGACATTGTTTGCACTTCTTTTATTTTATTTAATTTTTTGGACAACATCTGTACTGCATCTCTAAGTATCCTCACTCCTAAAGCTGTGCAGAGACGCCCCCCCCCCCCTCCCTGAGTGAACAAGCCCACATAGCGACATGGTTTGGCAACCTAATTACATGTTGATGTTGCGTACTCGGTATATTTTGTCAGGAAATACCTTTTACTTGAAACTTGACTTTGCAAATCAACTTTTCTACCTGATGTCCACAAAGTTTTCTTACGTCACATTTCCTCTGGTGTTCTACTTTATGACTGTAACTACCACATGACTCTCTTCTAGCCTATGCCAGGTAAATGCAGGTGCCCCACCCCCCCCCCCCCCCCCCCCCCCCCCCACAGGGAAGCATAGTGACGGACGAGCGCTGAAACAGATCATTTTTAACTCAGGGGTTGGCCCGGGCCCCCTCTGTGTCTCTGACAGTTTCAGATTGTTTTTTTTTTTGTTTTTTTCCTGCTGTTGGTATGAAACTGTTAAAGAAATGGTGTTTTTTAAATTTAATAAACATGATTTTGAAATAATTTAAAAGCTGCTGTCATTACTGACTATGGCACATTAGATGTGAGCTGAGACAGGAAGTGGGAAACGATGCGTGCGTCTCGCACAGATTTCAGAGCTTTTCGTTAAATAACGTGTGTAACGGTTGAATGCAGCGCTCGGTCCTCACGGTAATTGGATTTATGTGACTGTTGATCTTTGAAGCCTTTTGACCTTGGTTTAAGATGCGTGCTCATTAATCAGCTGTCGGAGGGAGGATGGCTCCCTTTATCTTTGTTTGTGGCTAACTAATGAATGAGCTGCGAGTTTCAAGGGAAACCAATCAGCCAGAGTCTAGAGGCTTAACGGCTACAATCATTTTTTTAAACTTCTATCGTCTCGGTGGTCAAAGGTCGAGTTCGTGCGCTGACATTTGCTCATGAGCTCCCTGTGATGTAAAGGCGCCGCTGACTGGCGTTGGCACTTCGACGGCTGTCGCGTCTCCTCCTGGCATCACAACAGACTGTAATGTCGCCCACAATCTGCCCACATGCTCCGGGATGATTAAAGCCTTAATGGCAACATATGGTGTCCGAGGTGTTTTCTTCACGCCGTTACAGGAACAAAGGGTTTGTAATCATCAGGTGGGTTTGCTCTGGAGCTTTGAAATCCTCATTATGTTCTCATTCTGTCCGGTTAATGAGATGCTGCCGTGGTGGTTGCTTTTATATATTTTCTTTTTTTTATTTTTTATTTTTTTTATAAAAGATGTTGACTTTTGCAGAATGATGACCTGGATGTTTTAGAAAAATAACCTTTTAGATTTTGGGGTTGTTCTATGACCAAAGTGTGGACCAGTTTGAAACTTAACCTTGTTCAAGAAGAATGGGAGGTGGGAGTTCTTTATACACACACACACACATGCATAGTGTGTGTGTGTGTGTGTGTGTGTGTGTCCTTGTTTATGCTACTTTGTGAGGCCCATTTTTCCAACTTATACTGCATTGTGAGGACCAACTGCTCCTAATGGGGCCCAAAGCCCGGGCCCCATAAGAAGTCCCGTTGGTGGGTTAGGGGCTAGGTTTAGGACAAAGGTGTGAATTGAGGATGTGTTAGGTTTAGGGTTAGGTATGTACTGGTAATGGTTAGGTTATGGATAAAGGTCATGGTTAGGCTATAGAAATGAATGAAAAATGAATGGAAGTCAATGTAAAGGCCCCATACAGATAGCAAAACAAACCTGTGTGTGTGTGTGTGTGGGGGGGGGTTCTTTATACACGCACACACACGCATGCATAGTGTGTGTGTCCCCACAATGTAACCTGAAACAAACACACACATGCAACCCCTTATTTTATAGATCCAACATTTTTCAGTCAGGTCATCTGGACAGTTTCTTTTTTTTGTGCTGAAACGTTTCGCCTTTGGTCTGGAAGGCTTCATCAGTCAAGGAAATGCACAACAAAACTGATTCTTCCCCCAACAGCTTACTCCAAAGTGGAACAAACCAGTTGGCAACAAACCAAACTGCCAAACTGTACAGATGACCTGATTGAAAAATGTTGGATATTATACCTGGATTATTGAGCATGGACTTTGTTGTTTTCAACCAGTTTGACAAGACTGTCAACAAGGAAGAAGGCCGGCAATGGAGGAGGGGCGTACCAAAGAGACCATCTTATCACAAGCAGAACTGGTTTGTTCCACTTTGGAGTAAGCTGTTGGGGGAAGAATCAGTTTTGTGTTGTTTCCTTGACTGATGAAGCCTTCTGGATCAAAGACAAAATTTTCAGCACAAAAAAAGAAACTGTCCAGATGACCTGACTGAAAAATGTTGGATTTTATACCTGGATTATTGAGCATGGACTTTGTTGTTCTCATCTTATAGAATTTGTGGATTTTTACAAACACTTGGGGAATTTTAATTGATGCACATCTCTGTACCACTTTACAATAAGGCTCCCCTTATAGATGGCTAATAAATAGTTTATAGAGGAATTAATAATGTATCTATAAACATTTTATAAATCAATAATTTATTATTGCTTGTTTATTAGCATAATAAGCATTTGTAAACCTATTTTTTAAGGATTTATAATTTGTAGATACTTGTAATGCAGTGATAAAGTACAATATAAATGCTTATTGTGCTTACAAGGTAGTAACTTAGTCTGAAATGTTTAATATAACGACTCTAGATGAAATGCATATGTGAACAGATTTGACAAGAAACTGGTCACTTTTGTCTCTCTGTCACCCTAAATGTATAATAAGCAGTTATTAATGATTTATAAAGTGTATATAGAGGAATTAATGTATCTTTAAACTATTATCCATCTATAAGGGGAGCCTTATTTTAAAGTGGTACCCACATCTTTTAAGTCACATGTTGAAACCTGTTAAACTGAAATTAAAATTGGGTAATAAAATTGGGTTTAACTGAATGCCAGGAAACACCTTCTAGCTGCTACTTTCCTACCAGCCATTGATTATGGTGACATTATTTACATGAATGTCCCTGCCAGCTCCTTGCAGATGTTGGATGCTGTCTACCATGGGGCACTACCGCTCATAACTGGTTGTAACTACCGTACCCATCGCTGCACTTTGTACTTATTAGTCAGTTGGTCATTCAGCATGTAGGCTCTTACACTGGTTCATTTTCATCTATAAATCACTCCTTGGTCTGCTGCCTTCTTATATCTCCCACATGTCACGTCATCAGTGCAGTTACAGCGTGCGCTCTCAGGCCTTCATTACCTGCAGCGTTCCCTCAGTGAGGACTGAACTTGTCAAAAAGGCCTTTTCTTACTCTGCTCCTGTAACCTGGAACACCCTGCAACAAGCTCTGAAGCTGTCCGCTTTGATTTATTTGAAGGATTTTAAACATTTCATAAGGTCAATAGATACATCAAAGCAAATATGTTCTTGTTTTTAATATTTTACCTTGTTTTATATGACTGCTTGATATGACTGGGTTTGTAACTTTGATTTAAATTGCTTTTGTTGAATTATTGTCATCTGTACCTTGTCTCTTGTAAATGAGTCCTTGTGACTCAGTGAGACCAACCTTTGTAAATAAAGGTTAAATATATACACACACACACTTGCACGCACGCGTAAACCTGTCACCCTAATCATTTGAGAAAACTATGCTTTCTAGTTTTTATAGCACTCAGAAATATAGTTTCCTGAAATGATTGGGGTGGTCAAAGATTAACACTCCCCCTGGCTGCACCATTGCACCTGGTGGTGGGTAAAATGTCTTCCTCCACTGACCTCCAGCACACTGCTCTGCCTCAGACAAGTAAATTAAAAAAGCCTACCTCTGTTCTTCTCCACAGCTCAACTCCCACTTGAACGTCCATCCATTATCTTTTGCCTGCGTCTTTCTTTTGCGAGGTTCACTGATGGAGGCGGGGGACATCCTGGACAGGTTGCACGTCCATCACAGGGACACACAGAGACAAACGAGACAAACGTACATGTGTTTGGTCTGTGGGAGAAAACCCATGCATGCACGGAGAGAATATGCAAACTCCACTCAGAATTTTCTCCTGGCCTGGATTTGATCTGTCGACCTTCTTGCTGAGAGGCAACAGCTCTACCAGCTGCTCCACCGTGCCGCCCAACTTCTGTTGTATGACGTTTCAAAAGTCCCGTTGCATCCTTCATAAGTTAAAAAGAATATTTTAAGGAAATGCCACTGAATGGAAGACTGAACTAAAACATAACGCTCAGCAAATGTTGACGATATGAAAAAGAACTCATTTAACTTTGACATTTTACTGACAATAAATACATTTTACCGTTTATTCTCCTTCACCTGAAACTGACACATAGGAAAAAGGATCCGTGTTACAGATTAAAGGAATCAGAACGAGAAAACGATGCAAAATACTTTTATTGAAGCCAGTTTTTCTATGACTGTAAAGACATTGTTTGACAACCAATGCATTTTTTAACACTATAATTTGTTTGGATTGAGACATCAGTATTTTTCTTCACATTTTTTGCTTTAAATTTGAAGGATTTGTTAACAACCAGTTAAAACACGAAACCTTAACATTGGGATTTAAAGATTTTTTTTTTTTACCGGAGGTTTCTTTAAACAACTTAAATATTGACAGCGAGAGAACCCCGTTTTTTTAATAATTTTTTTTAAGAAGGCTTCTAAAACTGGTCCGAACCATGAACTCTGCTGCAGCCAACTCATTTCAAGTATTTCAGGAACTGCTTGGTCTAGACCAGGGTTCTGCAACATGTGGCTCTTCGGTCCCTCTGCAGCGGCTCTTTCGAGATTTGACCAAAACGGACATAAAACTGAATTTCATACGATGTTATATCCACAACAAAAAAATGACTAGTTTTAGCAGTTTTCCTGTCATTTCCTTTGCAAATA